GGGGGGGGGGGGGGGAGGAAAACCCTCTTTTGGTTTGGTGCTTTTGCATATCATCCCCCTTGTCATTCTAAAATAGAACATAACCTCCTTGTGATTAATGGTACTAACTCTGTTAACAAAAAAATTAAAATGACCATAATACTTCCATCTTCAGCAACAAATTCATCCTTCTCCCACGCATCCGCATCCATATCTCTCTCACCCCTTCCTTGGTAGACTAAAAACCTTCGGAAATTCAACATCTCAATTTCAAAATGAATCGAAAATATATAATAATTTTTCTCAATTAAATATGTATCCATATCTGTGTGTGTATATATATATTCAAATTTAAATTTGTTTTAAAAAATTTAATCAGATTTGAGTAAACAGATTACAATATTAATTCATATTCGATTAAATTGACTTGAATTCGGATTCAAATCCTTTCATTGACAAGTCTACTTTCAACCATCTCCGCACCCTCAATTTATATTTTGAAAAATTAAAGTTTTTATATCGCTGCTTTCTCAAACAAATAAGTAGTATTGTGTTCCATTTTAAGAAATTCAGTAGCGAAAATTTCTATTGAAAATACTTAAAATTGAGTATTATGTAAATAATTGTGTATAAAAATAAGTCCATTTGACAACTACAACAAAAATATGTTAAAAAAAAAGTTTTTATCTGATTGAGGCGTGAATATGAGAATTTTGATATTTTAATGTGTAGATCAAAATTAATCTTTTAAATACAAAAATGTATAAATTATAATTTGACCCTCCAATTATCATATTTTTACATTACGCCATCAATATATGTAATTTTTTTTTGATTGACAGAACCACTACAACACTATCACTTAAAAGTGGAAGTATCATAGGGCCTGCCTTATACACACACACAAAAATCCAAGGCTATTCGATGTGGGATAGCACTAGCCCCGTTGTAATCAACTATGTAATTAATTTCACATTGTCTCTATTATTAATGTCTATTACATATTTAACAAAAAATATATAATTTGTTTTTTCATTTTTTTCACCTGAATTATGTAATTTTTTTTTACTTTGTCCCATACATCAATAGTTTTCATCAAAAAAGATAACAGACATTTGCGATTGGATCAAAGTAGTTAAGGGGTTAATGAAGAAAATCAAAGTAGTTAAGGGAGTAATGTAAAAAAATCAATAGTTTGAGGGACAAAATAAATCGAATCCATAGTTGAAGCGGTTAAAATGTAATATACACGAGAAAGTGTCATTTTTCTTTTTTTATTGAAAATCACAAAAAGTGTCATTCACCCCCACCACTTATCTATCTTTCAGCGTCCTTTTATTTGAATCCGAAGCGTTTTGCTTTTGAGCTGCGAACACATCTGCCTTCTCTCTCTGTGCGGTCTCTCTCTTCAGCAATTGGGGATTTTCTGAGGGACATCGCAGATCAAATTAACGGAGTGACAAAAATGGCCATATCTAAAGTTTCGTTTGCTGTCGCTGCTACATTTGCTCTGGTTTTTGCTATCGTCTTGCCTGCTGTTCACGGTCACTCTATGCCTCCTGCTCCCGCCCCTGCCCCAGCCAGTGATGGTGAGTTTCAGTTGCTTTCTTGCTCTGTCATTTACGCTTCTGTTTGGTTGATGAGAAAATGTAGGAAAATATGTTCTTTCAAAAAAAAAAAACAATAAAACCCTTTTGCTTGTTTGATTGATGAGAAAATGCAGTACAAGGTAATCCTTCAATTACTCTATTGTTTGTTTCAAAGAAAATGCAGTTTAAGGGAAAGAAACTATGGTTTTGTATTGTGTTTCCTTCTTTTGCAGCTTTTTCCAGTATGAAGAATCTTCGACATTGTTCGCGATTATGAAAATTGGCTCTTTGAATCTTTAAATGGACATTGTACATGAAAAATAAAGGGGCATAACTATTTGCATTTGCCATTGTCTTTCAAATCACGAGGATTTGAAAGGCAAATCTCGAAAGGCTAGTCGGCACAAACCAGAACACTCTTTTAAAATAAAAATATCACGGTCATTCAACAATGTATTCGGAAGCGGTAATTTGAAGGGAAAAAAGTTAGAATGCTAAAGTCTTAATGGAGTGAAAAAACTCACGAGGTTCATTCCATTTAAGTTTAATAATAGGATGAAAAGTTTTGGAGCACAAATAGATATAGATATATACATAAGATAGAGCTGTTAACGTTAGTACCATTTTCGCTTCAGGTACAACAATTGATCAGGGAATAGCATGCGTGCTGATGCTACTTGCATTGGTGCTCACATACATTATCCACACCCTGGATCTACCTTTCAATTTCTGAGTTGACTCAGGAAAATTACCAGTTTCAGCCTCTGGCCAGAAGGATTGGAAAAGTCATAATGGAATGAATTCTAGTAGTGTTTTTTAGTAGGAAGTTTGTAGATGGACATGCATGTAGCGGGTTGTATCCAGTGTTCTGACTTAACAGATTGTTCCATTTGGTGCTGTTGGTGGTGCTATATTCATCTTGGTTGATAATTTGATTCACTCTTTTTTTTATTCTTTCCATTTTTTCTTCTTAATTTCTCGTAAGAGTATAACTATTTTCCTTTAAATGTTTTCCTCTGAGGAATTTGGTGCTCTACTGGATGATTAATGGAGTTGATAATGAGGTGATTGCTTTAAACCTTACATTTCGGATTTTTCAGTGTCATTTTGTATCACCCTTTATATGGACTCCATGGTCTTGCACACGGTCACTCCCATCCCCATGCATAACTGTAAGGGAGTGAGACGGGGAGGCAGAGATAGAGAGAGACGTAGTGAAAGTGACCCAGAGAGAAAAGTTCATAACGACTAATGATAGATCCTATGCCACAGGATATGTTTGCAAATTGGTGCGTTTGACACATTTTGAAATAAGAGTTGGTTTAGAAGAGAGAGAAACGGCCAGCTTGCGTGCAATTCAAGTAATTTCTTTCCTGATTCGATTAAAGACAGATCATTCACATCGGAACAAGAGTATTCATTAGGAATTTATCTCTCTTGACTTGACCTTAAGGATTGTTAAGATTTGAACAAAGAGAGGTCTGAATTATAGATCATTCTTGTTACTACTTGAGTTAGGGTTTCATTTACATACTTCTGTCTAACGTCCAAGTTTGAAGAAATAAAATTAGGTTAATATCAGCAAAATATAATAAGTAGACGGCAGTTTCTTGTTTGCCACTTGCCATAATTGTAGCGTCGACTCATTCCTAGCACTCTTAATTAATCTAGAAGATACACAAGCAGAAGGGTTAAAACTGCCCAGGGATTGAATCCTGTACAACATTCCAAAAGTCATCATATAACTGTAAGTTTGCCTCGAATTACAAACTATGAGTGCAAAAAAGTAAGCTGAAAATCACTTAGCCAAGTACTGCAATGAAGGAAACAGCAAAGAAAATTAACCATGTCAGAATTTAATGTCAACTTCATATTCTATTGAAATTTTCTAATTCAATTACAATGTAAGCGCCATCAAATAAATATAAGCTCAATCACAATTTCATAGCACAATTACAAAAAATGGAAGTTTTTAATCTTGTCAGAAGCCTCAAAGAGAAATCGTACTTCAATCACGATTTCTTATTACTAAGATCAGCCTCTCCTTGGTCATCTTGTGCCAGTGAGAACTTCTTCACTTTCTGTAGAGAAAAAAATAAAGGTAAGTAAAAATCAAGATATTCATTACGACTGCAAATAAGAAAATAGCTAACGAGAAAGCAGCTATAACCACAGGTGCTTCAGCCCAAGTGGTAGAACCTGCACTTCCCTAGGGGGAAGGCAAGGCCCAATGGGCCATGGGGTAGAGAGTTGATAGCTCCAGCCTATAAGCTTGGGTGGGGGAGAAACTTCTAAAAACAAAAATGCACTACATTCCATGCACCTTTACATTAGGCAATTGTTTAACAAGATACAAGATGTGGCTTAATTCTTACATCTAATGGTTGTCTTTTTGATTTCTTGTTAGCCACCTAAATCAATTCACAATTCACAATTCTCAGGTCACAACTAATGCATCATTTGTACCAGATGATACAGCTCAATAAGCATTTAAATCCTCCAATGGGCTGCCCAATTTTCTATATTGCATTCTCATAAGTCAGCTAGAAATCATATCAAAACTAGAGAGTTGGATGTACAGTCCATCTTCGACGTCAAAGTGGACTTTGAGAGCCCATACATTCTCATAGCCAGAATCATGGCAGTAACTCCGTCTCTCTGCTCCCTATATTTCCAATGTCACGTCTAAGGAAAATCTAAGCAACACATGGACAAAGTATTTCAAGGGTAACACAAAAGAGAATCGTTCAGTCGTTGCCTGGTTGGTCTCAATGAGGATGTTTACATATGAAAAGTGCCAAGCTTATAGCCACCTTACTAGGACATCAAGCACAACACTTGACCCGCTACTAGAAGATAAATGACAAACGAAACTTTGTTGCAATTACGACAGTTAAATGCAAAACCTCATCGACTTTGAAAGCATCATCATTTAAAGCTCTGGGAAGATATATTACTCTGCATTCCGAGGCCCCATGAACCATAGATTTCCAAAGGAATCTTAACCATGCTTACAGAGGAGTTGAATGTATAGTTGTGATTGCTGATTTAATAGGATGACAGAACACAGAATGATTATTTAGACTGAAGTATAGAAACAAATATGCAGGCATAAGAGTGGGCCATTAAAAAAAGTGTTTAAATTTCATCTTTTCCCTTTTAGCTTCGGACAATAGAAACTGGTTATAAAGAATACTGACCACCAACGGAAGAGGGAAGGAAGGAGATTCAGGCCTACAACGAACTGAAGGCCTGGATGTTCCCAGTGCCACTGGTCCATCCCACATCGTCCTCAAAACTGTTCAATTTAGAAATCCAGGATTTTTCCTAGTCTCCCCGTGACTATTTCACTTAAAGCTAACACACATTAAGCATTGCTTTGAACATTCAATCTTTAAATGGGATACAAATTATACTTAGGTCTATGAACTAAAGCTAACAAGGGTCCTTCCATAACACAGTCAACAACATACTTCACCGCAAAATTCATCTATTAATCGATTAAGTAAGTACCAATCGTATACTGCCACAAAGCCATCAACACCAGAAGATCGGTTCACAAACTACCCTATAGAAACTCAACAATTTTAGCACAATTTACGCCAGATTTCGATTAAAACAAAAGAGAAAAGAAACCCCAAAACATCAAAAGTACCAACACATCGAAACATCACATACATGTATACAAACATATATTCAAACGATACCTTGTTGAGGACGCAATCGCGTAAGGATTGCAGGAGACGGAGGCATTTGTCCTGATCGTACGGGGTCTCGGTGACGCAGTTGAGCAGATTCAAAGCCTCTTGAGCGCATACGGGCTGAGGAGTTTTATCCGAGTCCATTGACTCTGTTCACAGTAAGGTTAGGGTTTTTGGAGATTAGGGGTTTAGGAATGGAGAAAGAAGAATTATACATTTTATCGTTTGTGGACTGTTTGGCGGTTGCAGGAAACAAGATTACACGGACAAGGTGCCCCAAAATTTCCCCTAAACAATGTTCTTGGGCCCATTTATCGTAAGCCCAGAATTTCATAATTGGGTTTCAAAATCACATTATTTAAAATATGTTTTAGGCTTTTGAGCCCATTTTCATTTATGGTAGCCCAGAATATTACAATTGGGTTTCAAATTCATGAAACACGATTTGGGCTTCAAATAACTAAAAGCTGATTTGGCCCAAAAGGTTTTGGCCTACCAAATGACCCTGTAACTTTCCCACAGGTGGGGGCAACAAGCCATAGGCAGTGCAGTTTGCAAATTGGTTACACATCATGGACCTAGATTTTGAAAACACGAACAACCCATTTCAATAGTATTGTGGGAAGGGAAAGTGGGGATCTTTTTTTTTTTTTTTTTTTTTCTGATTAACAATTTTTAAAAAATTCTTAATTACACTATTTCCTAGAATGTGTTCGTTGTCCAAGTCCAGTATCCACAATGAAATCCTAAACATCCATATAATTTTCAAATGCGGAGGATTTCAAGTTTCCATCTACATATGAATGCTTCTTACTCATCAAAGCATAATTCATTTTCCAAGAATAGCGGCTCCTTCTTTCTTCCTTCTAATTGGTAAGAAATTAGGTTTTTCTTCAGGTTCCTCCCTTATCTTAAATGTAGAAAGAAATGTTTAAACAAAAAACACTTTCAAAGCTAACGCACCAATCCTCTCTTATTGTCTTATTTGAATCGCCGTTAGGAGGTCGAGTACCAAAATATAGAAATACTACTATGTTAGTTCACTCTTGAAAACTTAGTCATGATTGTTCAAAATCTCACTAGTGCAAGTAGGGTAAGAGCCTATTAATTTTTTTTCCCAGCACTCTCCTTGGTATGTATATATATATATATATAAGCAAATAAACTACTCCAATAACCAAACCAGAAAAGAAAACAAAAAGGGTTAACAATAGACTATTTGACACTCAGGGGTATCAACCCCAAAAAGATCTCTGCATTGTGCTCCATCACTGTCCTGTCGGTAGGTGAGAGCAACCCAAAGAATCCTACTTGCCTACTTTTCGACCCTCATTATATGAGCCAGACAGTTATTTGCGCTCTTCGTTTCTCTTTTTTTTTTCTCTGTTTATTATTTTGTTGTTCTTCTATGCCCCCCTCCCCCTTTATGCCTCACCATGCCTTATTGCAGCAATCACCCATGGTTGCCACGTGGACCTATCTCCCAAATGGGAAGCCAAGCAGCAGAAAAGGAAACATAGTTGCACAAATATCCCATGCACAATCCATACGAGTATGACCCCCCCCCCCCCCCCCCCCCAATTGCCAGAAATATTGCATAAGTGCATTAAATGATGATGTCCACTACAAAGATTTTTTTTCCCTTTTTGTTTTACCTTGAAAATTAAACAAAATATAGTTAATTTTGAAAGAATTTATTATCAACCTCTTTTAAGGTAAATCCATTTGTCAAGACCCAAGAATGTACTGAACATTTGGGCGGCGAGATTTGATACTTGATCGGAAGAGAATTCTTGGTCCTGAATATCTGAATTGATTGTTCATTGTTCAAGAATTCTTGATTAAGCAGTCCATACCATCCATACATAATGTTTTGATTTAAAATTTCAATTCTTTCGTGTTTCGATAGTAGCATATTATTTCATAGAGCTATATATGTTATTCTATTTTCAAATGTTTTCATCAAACATACTTTCATTTTATACAAGTAACACATTTAAAAAGCACTTCTAAATCATAAGTTCACCAAGATTTACGGGTCTATCCCAAATGATTAATCCCATCTTAAGGGACCGGAGGTCACAGGCTTAACCAGCTTCAGTCCAATTGTCCAGTACAATGGTGGCTGATCATATCAGGCAAGTTGCGAGTGCGGGTGGTTTGGGGGACCAGAACAAGTGCACTGGTTGCACTTTGGTAGAGACGACAGACCGTTCCTATGTGTACGGCCTCCATCGGTTTCCTGTAGTTGCAGACTGTGCAAACAGAGAAGATCTCTCTACTGGTGATATCCTCAGAAATTATTTGGCATGTTACGGTACCTTGAGAAATTTTGTTCATGGTTATGCCCAAATGTACCATAAAATTCGGTATCATATTGAAAATTTTTAAAATTTACGAGTGGTACGAATTCAAGCATGTCAAGTTTATGACTTTAATAAGTTTGAACAAAGTTGATCCTATTGATTGCTAATTTATGGTGCATAGTTCTTGAATATATTGAAGTGTACCTTTTAGGAAGATGACGAAAATAAGGTCTGATTACAAATTTATTGGAGTAGACAATCTGATGTTTAAGTTAGTCAATGCCACGAGAGAGTATGTAATTCATGAGAGAAAGTATGCATAGTATGGACTTAAGTTTACCTAGCATTTATAGGGATTTTGTCCCTGGTTATTTAGGACATAGAGTCTTGGTTGGTAGTCTTGGTTGGTGTCTGCTGGGACACCTAGGTTCTAGCTATACCTTCCTTAATTTGTGTTTGAACTTTTTTAGGTTTTCATTATTATTAATTGATTTTTTAATACACATGTTTATAATGTGGACATTTTAATTAGACAATTTTCTTACTGGTCGTATATAACCGCTTTTGGTTACTACTGATAGCTTAGTTATATATCTTTTACTCGGGTGGACCTAACCCTTATCCCGTGAATTGTGAAGTTAGAGTTGCACTCGGGTACTGATTCGTTTAGGGTCTTTTCTCTAACACTTGCTCTGTCTACACCAACTACTTAAGCACATTTCTTGCTCGAGAGTGTTATTGCCTTATCTGACCACTTCCGAATGATTCCCTAATTCTGGCCAGAGACACTTTGTCTTGCCAAACGGTCATGCTTAATATGTTATTTGTCACGTGCCTTCATACAACTACTACATCAAGGTCAAAGATACTTTTTTATACGTTGTGTTGATATTATCCCTACATAGCATAACCATTCTCGTATATTTGAAGTTGTTGGGAGGTTGGGCATCTTCAACTGAATCCAGTGAGAAAAGTTCTGACGACATAGTAATTGCAGCTAAATATAGTTTTTACTTTTCATGGTGTACAACTACAGACCAAGTTATTGCGAAACTAAATCTGGTAAAACATTAAATGGGTAACTCATTGAGGAGATAGCACATAATAATTCAGAAGAATTCGATTTGTAGGGCAGCTAGAAATTTGGCTTCGTAATGGCAATAAACTTGTAACCTACCAAATCTAAGTAGTTTGCTTTTGAGTTCTGAATGAGATTATGAGATTAGACTTTGGCGCTTGAAATCTCAAGAGGTAATTCAAGTGGTAATACCGTAATAGGGATCAATTATAAACTTAAACATTTTGAGTTTGAATTTTGGGGTCAGGTCATGAGAAATTTATTTTTCATGAATACCTTAGTTCCAATGTAGATGGTCTGTTTTTGACTGAATAGACCAGGAGATTAATCGAGGTGCACATAAATTGGTCCAGACAACCTTGACTGTCGAGGAAAAAAAAAATGGTATTTGCATATAAGTAGGCCTGTCCTCTATTTTCTATTTCTCTTGTTTGTAAAGCCTGGCCCCTGGCACCCCCTTTCTCTCTCTCTCTCTCTCTCTCTCTCAGATCGACCAATATCTACCCAAAAAGATACATCTCTTCTTGGCCATTAAATGTTCCGGCACAAACGTGCCCGAAATTGGTCCTATAGCATAACATGGCCTGAAATACACCCATATTCAATGGATAAAATTCACAAGAAGATGAAAGGGACGTTTTGGTCTCGCTTGGTTCAACGAGGTATAAGTGTGGCTCTTGTTTGAGGTTTAAAGCTAACATACTCTGGCACCTATGAAACATGGTTATAGTAGTATCATCAGCTAAGATTTTCTGATACTGCAGCTGTGAGATGGAACCAAACCAAGTTGTTTGTCCAAATATGTTTCATCTGTGATCTACCAGCTCATTCCAGGGACCACCCTGAGTAAATTGATCAATTTACTGATAACTGTCATAAATTCTTGCAAGTTGGCTCGCTCATTTCAGATTGTTCTGCAATTTAAGTTTCACAAACTCTCTCTCTCAGCATGTTGCTGGGTGGCAGGACTGATCAGAAGAGCTTGAACTTGCAAGCATGAGAACCCAGTCAAGGGCTAAATTGATCAAAAAGAAGAAGGGTGTTTTTTTTTTTCTCCAACTGCCTGCCTACTTTTCCGAATATATTTTTCTTTGTTTTTTCAACTTGAGAGAACTGTATTAGATAGGATTCACATTCATTTTAGTACCCATTTCTCTCAATTACGGTCCTCGAGAATCAATAATCATATTAAAAAAAACCTATTTATGTGTAATTGATTTCATCCGAATTCGTATTTGAGATGTAAAATTAAAGAAAATGAAAATATTGCATCACATGATATTCAAGTCCACATAATAGAAAAGTGGTAAATAATATATCATTAATTTGACTTATGATGTGTAATTGCATCTCCCTAAGGGGTGCAAAAATTCATGGACAGAAACCAAGGTCCCATGATGGGTTGACTCATTGATGGTTTGGCCCATAATGTACTTTGTATAATACTAAAATTTTTCCGAGATACAAACAAAAGATACAAGATGTGGCCCCAGGGGAGCCTCACCTGAGAAAAAACACACCCCAAACGTCCATACCTTATGATGAAGTTATGTGTTAGATGAAGAAAATGTGGTCCAAGGCATATTGATTGCCTTTTCTTTTCCAGCTCCTAATTGCATTTAGACAATTTGTGTATTTACAAAAAAAATAAAAATAAATAAATTAGTATAAAACATGACGACTGTAAAATAAGTTTATATTATCGGGTTTGTATTGTACTCTATTTGGATATATGAGATTTATAATAATAATTAATCAATGTATATAAAAACATATAAACTTCTCAAAAAAGATCGATTACTCACAATTATACAAGTGATATCATCGGTACAAGTTAACTCTTTATAATATTCATCTTACGCTAACCTTAAATAGGGAGAACAAAACATAACGATAAAATGATTTCCAGCTTGGCACTTATAGTGCCTTCAAAACAAGCTTAATTTTATGATTTTACAGCCAAGTTAGACAAAATAATTGGAGGCTTTTTTTTATTTATGTTTACAGCAAACGAACTGTACGGATCTACAATGAACAAAAGTGGATTTCAAATCGAAATGTGAGTGTGCCTAATCAGTTGTCTAGCACGTGTCCACTAAGCATTCATTCATCCCATTTCATTCTTTCACCTAATTCAAACCACCTTTTCAATTTCAAATCACGTGTACGAACACGTGCCTCCAATTACACAACCACTTAACCCAATAATCACCTCCTACACACAGAAACATATAGGCAAACGCTCGTCCGTTGCCGTTTAATGTAACGGAGTAATTTAATACTAATATTAAATTTTCCTACACGGCAAATAAAATCTCAAAAAAATAACAATAAAGAAACACTCTACTAATTTATAGATATTCCCCGCGATACGTGTAACTGCTGAAAAATCAGCTAAACTAACGGCAAAAATCTTTTACGTTATCAAAGGGTTACTAGAGGCTCGGATCCGAATATATCACCATAATCTTGACAATAGTCATCCATGGGCCAGGATGAAGATCCGAATCCGAAATCACTACTCCACCCGGTGCACATAGTACCAAAGTCGTCTCCGGTTCCGGAGAGACCTATCCCATCGAACAGATCCGGCATTTGGTTCTCAAAATCAAAGTCGAAGAAGTTGTTTGGAAAGATGGTTTCAAATGGAGAGAAATCCGAAAACTCCTTTGATACGGAGATATTGTTATCGTCTACGATATCGGATAGGTCTCCAATCACCTCTTTTGGTGGATGACTTTGAGACGATTCAGCTTCTTCGGTTTGGGACTCCTCAGCTTGAGAGACGAATCGGAGAACAGATCTCGGAGATCGCAGATTGCTCTGAGACTCCTCGCCGGAATTGTAATCAGTACAGGTGACGGCCGGTTTGTTTTCTGAAACTGTTTTGGCTGGAGGAGTCGCGAAGTTGGTGAGCGCGTCCGGACCACGCAACTGAATAGCTGCGTGGTCATAAACCATGGCGGCCTCTTCGGCTGTGTCGTATGTGCCTAACCACAGCCGTACACGTCTCAGTGGATCTCTGATCTCGGCCGCCCATTTTCCCCATGGTCGCTGCCGTACGCCCCGAAACTTCTTCCCTGAGCCGCCTACTTTCAGCCCTTTCGCCGGAGATTCTATTTTCCCGGCAGACTTTTTCCGGCGATCATTGGCCGATAATCTGCTCCTCCAAACTCTGTTAACTCTTCCATTTCCATTAACATTTCCGTTAACGTTTTCCCGAGAACAAGACTCTATTGTGACCTCGTTAACGAATTTTTTCACTCTCTGGCGTTTGACAAATCCCTCCTCTTCGTCGCTTGAAGAGTCCGTTGCGTCACCGTCGGTGACGGATATCCGTACAACTCTAGGACCTCCGGCGTTCATTTCCGGCGTCTTTCTGCGGCTAGCAAGACTCCCCGGCTGTGAAGGTCTCACTATCGTGGTTTGGTTACGGTGTTCAGTGTATCGGACTGAAGAAGGAAACAAACTTCTCTCCATATCTCTACAGATTGCTCAGATTCGCATTGAAAATGAAAGGCACATGGAGAGTTACAGAGAGAGAGAGCGTGAAAAAGACAGAGATTCCTTTACGACCAGAGCCTCAAAAGAGACTAAAAGAGAGGAGAGCAACGTTAAAGAGAAGCTTTGAAACAGTGAAAAATCTAATTCTTACTCGATTGAATCTTCGAAAGTTTTGGGAAAGTTACAAGAAAAATAAAGAGGAAACTAAAGCGAGCTTCAAAAGCTTTCAGTGGATGGACCAAACTAGGGAAGGTGTGAACCAGAGAACTTGTGGAGAACAATAGTATGAGGGCACAGAGTCACAGACACATGGGCTTTGTTTTGTGAATGTGAATATATGAGACAGAATGAGAGAATCAGGCTTGGGGCTGAAGAAAAAGTAGAAAATTGCGAGCAAAGTTGCAGAGAAAAGGAAAGGGGTCCCTGTTTACTGAACGGAGAGGATCCACTCCTTTTACCAGAAAAAGGACAGGTAATAAATGTTTGGAGAGAGAATCAGGGTATATGGTGGTGGATACTGAAGCTCTGCCAGTGGCTTCAACAACTCTATGACTTACTATTTCTGGTAACCCACGTAATATTCGTGCTCAAGAAGTTGGAATCGCAGCTTTTCACTGTTGGTTTTCTCAAGAAAATCTTCGAGAAAGAGAAAGAAAATAGCATTTGGAGTGTACAGAGACTGAAGACTCCGGAGAGAGAGGGACAGGGAAGGAGGGAGGGCTTAGGCCTCGGGGGGGAAGAAATTGTTCAGTTGCGGTGTGGACCGAAACTACTGCAAAATGCTGTTTTATAGGATCCTATTGCCGAAATCCGGGTGAATCATTAGTATTATTCAATTTCAAATTAATGATTAATTTCGTGCCAAAAAGAACTTAATGATTAATTAACGGTGGGGTTTAATCGGAGAGAGTGAGGAACCTTTCTGATTTTTTTTACGAGTAGCCGCATCTGATGGGGACTGTGATTTTGACACGTGGCCTTGTGGACCCGGTACGAAAGGGAGACCCAACCGATTGATGAGACTTGGGTGCTGACTCAGCTAGAGATTTTCTGCTGGGAAGTGATTCAGGTCACGTGACGTCGGAGGAGACGGGTTCCGTTAATGTAGTCAGTCAAACGACTGAATAGTGTACCACGTCAGTCCGTCTTTGATTAAATTACAAAATTTAACCTCTGAATTTCTTTTAATGACAAGATTAATACAGTTTAATTACCTTATTAATATTTGCTTATGGGTTTGGACGGGGGCGTTTTTAGTCCTTTGGCTACTTTAGCGTCTGATTTAAGTCTCAAGACAGGTGGCATTGTGACAAAATTAATTTAACTCATATAGGAAACATTTTATAGTCATGAATAACAAAATTGGTTTCATGCCAGACTCATGTGAAATTTTCAAGTTCATATCATATTCAGTCAAATTTTTTTTGAATTTTCTTACCTAAATGTATTTACTGAATCTATTTATTTACCAATCAAAATCTTTTAGCTTTATGCTCATTTTTTACAATTGTGATTGTACTCGACACGATTGACAAGTCGTGTTAAATTCATACAAAAAATTATCCAACTTGTATATGAATCATTTATTATATTAATATAAATCATAGAATTAAACACAATTTTTACACAACTGTTCAACTGGCATCACCGTGGCAGTCAACCTAGATTTTGGCACCATTTGTATAATGTTTCATTTGGTACAAATGATGTAAAATAGGAGTGATACACTTTCTATCGTTTAAGGAAGGAAAGTAGGAATGATACATTTTCCTTCTTTTGTATTTGGTTGAATTGATGAAAAATAAAAATGATAAAATTTTTTTTTGTACCGACTAAAATTAGGAGCTACAATCGAATCGTGGCGTGTATCACTTCTACTTTCCATATACTTTGAATAAAAAAATAGAATCGTGGCGTGATCCACATGAACTTTGAATAAAAAATTTAATGCTAATATTCTATGTTTTATTTATTTATTTTTAAATTTTATATATATATATATATATATATACATATTTTATCATTGTATTTTTATATAAAATTAATAAATACATAATATATGTATATATTAAAAGATACATTAACAAATAAGATACATTTTAATACAAATAATTAATTTTTCATTCACTTTTCTTTCGATTTTGGAGGGACTGATTTTGGTGAGTTGGAAGGAAAATTAATTCATCCATTTTTCTATCCTTCGTATTTTCCTTCTTTACTAAACATGATACTTTATTTATTCCTCCAACTTTCCATTATTCTATTTTTCTATCATACCAAACAGAGCATGAGACTATTTAGAATTTCTATGCTTTTCTTTTCCAATTTTTCGGTCTTTCTCTCTCTCCATCGATCCACTGCTTCCACTCCTACCTCCTCCGTGATTCAATCTTTCCTATGCAAGTGGCATTTCATGTTAATGTTTATAATTTGAATTGAATGTGGGTCATCTTAAACTATTCTGAACGGTAAAAGAACTATGCACGTAGTGTGTAATAATAAATATTTATAATTGTTCTTACAATAATCAACTACATATGATATTCTACGATATGAGTTTAAGAATAAGTAAAAATGAAAGGAGAAGTAGACTTTTCTAATTTTTTAACCAAGTAATGAAACTGATAAAATAAACTTTTTACGTTTACTCATTGATGTGATGTGTCCGGGTTGGTGTATAAAATAGAACCTACTACACAAGGTGGCATGTCGTGCATAGGTCAGTTACCACATCCATGAAATAAAAAGCTTAGAGTCAGTCAATTTGCTGACTTTTTGCTTTTTTTTTTTAAAATTGACTTTATAAAGAAAATGATTTTAAACCCCCAAAATATGGTAAAAGAAGTCCGGTTCGGAGGGCGATGATACCCAAACCCTAGTGGGAGGATATTAGGAAAAAAAGTGGGGGGAGATTCTCTATCGGATGAGGAGAGACCTTCACATTCGATTCCGAGGGCAAAGATGTCCAACACTACTCATATCCCTTTAATTGTCATTTATGTTCTCCACTTTCTTCACGTAGTCCATTTATAAGCAATTGTTATTTATTAAAATTTGTTCAATAGGGACATTTTAATTGGATCAAAATTCTTAGGAACAGTTGGAAAGATGTCTCAATATAAGCAACAAAGCAACCAAACAGACAGTACGAGGGGCAGTACAGTAACTTAGACTTACTGTCAAGAATTTTGCACTGGCCGGCCCAAGGTTATTGGGTCGCTTAGGCGGCAAAATGTCCAAAGAGCCCACAACTTCACATCAAACAAATAAGCCGTCCGATTTGTTATTCTTTCAACCCCATTGGCTTTCTTCCATTTAACAAGCATAANAATACATAATATATGTATATATTAAAAGATACATTAACAAATAAGATACATTTTAATACAAATAATTAATTTTTCATTCACTTTTCTTTCGATTTTGGAGGGACTGATTTTGGTGAGTTGGAAGGAAAATTAATTCATCCATTTTTCTATCCTTCGTATTTTCCTTCTTTACTAAACATGATACTTTATTTATTCCTCCAACTTTCCATTATTCTATTTTTCTATCATACCAAACAGAGCATGAGACTATTTAGAATTTCTATGCTTTTCTTTTCCAATTTTTCGGTCTTTCTCTCTCTCCATCGATCCACTGCTTCCACTCCTACCTCCTCCGTGATTCAATCTTTCCTATGCAAGTGGCATTTCATGTTAATGTTTATAATTTGAATTGAATGTGGGTCATCTTAAACTATTCTGAACGGTAAAAGAACTATGCACGTAGTGTGTAATAATAAATATTTATAATTGTTCTTACAATAATCAACTACATATGATATTCTACGATATGAGTTTAAGAATAAGTAAAAATGAAAGGAGAAGTAGACTTTTCTAATTTTTTAACCAAGTAATGAAACTGATAAAATAAACTTTTTACGTTTACTCATTGATGTGATGTGTCCGGGTTGGTGTATAAAATAGAACCTACTACACAAGGTGGCATGTCGTGCATAGGTCAGTTACCACATCCATGAAATAAAAAGCTTAGAGTCAGTCAATTTGCTGACTTTTTGCTTTTTTTTTTTAAAATTGACTTTATAAAGAAAATGATTTTAAACCCCCAAAATATGGTAAAAGAAGTCCGGTTCGGAGGGCGATGATACCCAAACCCTAGTGGGAGGATATTAGGAAAAAAAGTGGGGGGAGATTCTCTATCGGATGAGGAGAGACCTTCACATTCGATTCCGAGGGCAAAGATGTCCAACACTACTCATATCCCTTTAATTGTCATTTATGTTCTCCACTTTCTTCACGTAGTCCATTTATAAGCAATTGTTATTTATTAAAATTTGTTCAATAGGGACATTTTAATTGGATCAAAATTCTTAGGAACAGTTGGAAAGATGTCTCAATATAAGCAACAAAGCAACCAAACAGACAGTACGAGGGGCAGTACAGTAACTTAGACTTACTGTCAAGAATTTTGCACTGGCCGGCCCAAGGTTATTGGGTCGCTTAGGCGGCAAAATGTCCAAAGAGCCCACAACTTCACATCAAACAAATAAGCCGTCCGATTTGTTATTCTTTCAACCCCATTGGCTTTCTTCCATTTAACAAGCATAAATGTTCAATAAATTTCGACATTTATAAGATTATGCAATTAGCCTTGTAATGCTCGATGATGGATCTAGGGAACGGGCGGGCGGGTTGATCTCCCACTCCCTTCCCCTCAAAAGGTTCTACGTTGTCGCCTAAAAGATTTCATTATCACTTTAAAATTTAGAGATAAAAATCGATGATAACTGTCCATTTATCTAAACTATAGATTATGAACTCCATTCTCTTAATCAGTCTTTTCAAAATAAAAAGATTGCGTATTAATTATTGTTTTTTCACTATAAAAGAGAGTCTTAATATACCGGGTAAGATTTTATCTTGGAAGTTTTCAATAGGACACATTAAGTTGATGAAAAAACAATATTGCTCTCC